TAAGTAAATATATCTAATGAGTTTATTTTAATAAAGAATATTTTTGTAAAAAATATTTATATATCTAGAAACATACTATTGTAACCATAAAAATTTCTTTAATTATTAAGAATCTTGTATAAATATTCCTAAGAATCTCTATGAGTAACCAAACAGATTTTAACTATTTATGAATCATGATTTTTAAAATTTGTAATTCTCAAAAATCATGATTTTTGAGTACGGAAAAACTTCTTTCCTATTGAATGCTCCTTGAAAATATGAATGTTTTCCTTCAAATGATGGTTATAATGTTGATTTTTATAGTTATTATAAAATGAATTATTCATCAACCCATACCTACATAGCTATTACAACGTTTCAAAATTTGTGATAAAATTTTATTATAAAAAGAATTCTTATCATCTATAATTTAAATTTTTAAAACCATACTAGGTAAAAACCACCCCCATAATCATATTTCCATTCATAAAAAAAACTACACCATAGTTATATATTCATCCAAAAAGTGGTCGAAACTACATACAACTAACATGAAGGAAAAGTCGTATTTTAATACAAATTTTTCCTTCTCACTTATACTAATAGGTTTACATCCCAAGTTGCTATAGATTTTATAACACCTATTTATATAGTTCTTAAATTTAATACTAAATATATATTTCTTATAATTTATTAACGCAACTGTAGAATTAATAATATTTTATATAAAGACGATGAAGATTTTGTTAACTAATGTATATATAGTTAGCTTATAATTACATTACATATCATTATAAAATATTTACAATACATACTTATTTACGTACTATATATTCTCTACTTCTACTACAATATTTACATATTAGGTTGAAATAAATTTACAATTAGGTTAACATGATTGGCTGGTGTAGTAGAAGGTAATTATTATAGGGTCATCAATAACAGTGAGAATTTCTTGGTTTTGAGAAAAAGTAAAAGTTGATAATGTTACACCGTGAAAAGTAATAGAATTGGCAACTGCATTGACACTCCAATTCATTCCAGAAAATACGCCTGATATAACTGAAGGAAAAGGGTCAGGTATGTCGGATAGATCCGTCTATTTTGCATTATAAATGATTTAATTTTGAAACAAAGAAAAATAAGGAGTGAGAACAATTATCCAATAATTATCAATAATTAAATAAAATGCATAGAAATATTTTTAACCAATATTAAGTGAATATATAAATCCTTCTTGTTATAATAAAAATTTGAATTATTCTTGTCATGATTCGTCAAGATAAATGAGCTTATCATAATATCAAACAATAAAAGGATAATTCACCTTAAGTTCTTTATTCATTTAAATCTCCAAGGTCAAACCTCCAACTACAAATTAATTCAAACTTTCATTCTTATGGTCATAGATTAACATTTATCTTTAATGAATAATGATATAAGATGAGATTAAGAAAAAATTAACAATACTAGATTATAGTTAGAAAAAAATAATTAAGTTAAATAAATTTACTTATTTAGAATTTATTATAACATAGTTTACAAAAATGGGGTGTATTAAAGAATATTAATCTAGTAAATGACAGTTATAAACAACATGAAATAATTAAATAACACAAATTAGAAATACCTCATTAATTATTTAGCGTAAAAAATATCATAGTTTAAGCAAATAAATGAGGTTAAGGGTACCTCACTAAGTAAATACGCATAGATATAACATAAAATAAATAAATATAATAATATAAAAAAATTAGAATAAAAATCTTCTCCCCTTACCTTAAAATTGTAGAATTATCGAAAGTTAACTGCTAAAATTTTCACTTTCCTTCCTTACTCTTTCTCCCTCTTCTTTATTTTCTTTCTTTCCTACGTACACTCTCCCTCTCTTGCTTATTTTTTTTCTCCTCTGATGGTCCCCCCTCCTCTATTTATAGGCCCAATTTTATCATTAAAGTGTTATTCTAAAAACATTTATATTTAAAAAAAAAATTATTATAATGTAATTGAATTTTATATGTTTCCAAAAATTTTTTTATAACATTAAAAATAAAATATTATATTTCTATTTATTTTTCAAATACGGTAACTAAATATTTAGATTATTATTAAAAAAATAAGATAATAATAATAATAAAATTGAGTGTATTATAATATTATACCAAAGGTTTGGAATATTACAGATTTACTATTCGGTTAACGTGATTGGCTAGGGTAGATATAAAATAACCACTATTTAGTCATCTATAATAGACTAATAGTAGGGGTTTGCTAGGTTGGTGAAAATACAAATGATGATACTCATATGTCCTAAAAAGTAATGGAATTGGCAGATGCATCAATGCCCCAACTAGTACTCATAAAAGTAGTCGTGATAACGGAATTGAAAGGGTCTGATATTGTTGGCAAATCCATCTATTTTACATTATAATCAATTTAATTCTATAACAAAGAAAAATAAGGAGTGACAACAATTATTCAAAAAATATTAATAGTTAAATAAATTGCATAAGAATATATTAACCGATATTAAGTGTATATATTAGTTCTTCTTGCTAAATAAAAATTTGAAATATTCTTGTAGTGTAGTCAGAATAAATGAGCTTTATCATAATCTCAAATAACAAAGGATATTTCACCTTAAGTTCTTCACTCATTTAAATCCTCAAAGTCAAACCCCAGACTACAATTTAATTCAAAATTTCATTTTTATTATGGTCATAGATTAACATTTGTCTTTATAATGAATGTTAATATAATAATAAGAGCGTAGAAAAATTAAAAAAAAAATAGATTTTAAAAATAATTAAACTAAATAAATTAGGATATTTTTAATTATTTAAGATGCATTATAACATAGTTTACCAAAATGAGATGTATTAAAGAATATTAATCTGGTAAATGACAATTATAAAAAATATAAAATAAATAAACAACATAAATTAGAGACACCTCATTGATTATTTAGAGTAAAGAGTGTCATAGGTTAAACACGTAAATGAGATTAGGAACACCTCACTAAATAATTATACATAGATAAAATATAACATAAAGTAAATAAATATAACAATATAAAAAAAAACTTAAAAGAGATAAAAGTCTCATCTCTTACCTTACTACTTGAAGTGCTACTATGAATAGATTTGAATAAACAAAATAAATTTCTCCAATTTGTATTCCCTTTCTCGCAGCTCTCTCTCCTATCCTCTCACTTTCAATCTTCCAAAATTCCTATGTCACACTCTTTCCATTTCTATTTATAAGCTATTTGTAATCATTACATTGTTAGTTTTTAATGAAAATTTTTTCCTTTTACTTTTGATCTCAACTATTCCTGATGCATATGGATCACTAGTACAAAATAAACATTTTACATCTGTTATTTTAGGGATTTTACGTCGTAAAATAGTTTGACGTTAATGCGGGAGACGTAAATTTACGTCGATTGAGTTAACTGACGTAAATTTACGAATCCGGATGCAACGACGTCATTTTTGGTGGCAGATCTTAACGATAACGTTGCGTTGAAGTGGCACGTACTGACGTGTGGGGATTGTGCGGGTCGTGGCAAGCTTTGCAGCTTCATCAGAGACATGATTCTTCAAGTTGGATGCTTCCTTGCTGCTACTACTCCTTATTAAACAAGTTCATGCAAGCTCTCCAATGGGAGCAACAACAAAACAATTCTTAAACTTAAACTCTCTCAGCCCAACACGATTCATACACAATGGAAAGAAGAAACCCTAAACTCATTCACATATATACTAACCTCAAATCATCCAAAACTCAGAAAATATCCAATCCAATCAATCAGAAAGATCTGGAATCACCCACGGATATCAAGAAGTCATTTACTGGAAAGCACAGTGACTAGAAACGCCCACACGTAGTCGACGAACCCTCGCCGAAAATCGCACCACGAATAAAAAGCTTCCTTTGTTGTGTAAACCTCGCGCGCGCTCAGAAGACAAAGGCGCTGGAGGGGAAATAAAAAGCTCTTTTACGTTGGACTACACTATGGCCGATGTAAAAAAGTTTGCTTTATTTTCAAAATTATCACCGCGTCTTTTTTACGTTAGATATTTTTATGTCTGACGAGAAAATGTTGACGTAAATTTTATATTTTGCACTAGTGGATAAACATTCCCTACAATGAATCTTGATTTTTACACGGAACTTATCCGTGCATTTAATGCATGAGATTTTTTTTAAACTATAAACATTTAAAATATAAAATTTTTAAATATTTAATTTCATAATAATAATTAAAATATTATTCTAAAAAATATTATAAATAGTATTTTAAAATTTTATAATGTAATTACATATCATATATTTCAATTTTAGTTTACTAAAAATATTGTAATAAAAATTTTAATGTATTATAAAAATATTGTACTTAATCTCTATTTATTTTAAAATATGATAACTAAAAATTTAGACTAATATTTTAAGAATAAGATAATAATAATAAAATTAAGAATATTATAATATTGTATAGAAATTTATAATATTTGATCAATAATGTATCCTATGTCGCAGGTGTGATTTAAATTTAATTAAAAACTTAAAAAATCACGACCAAGTTAATATTTCTCATCTTTTGATGAATCTCAGTTCCTTCAATGAGATATAAATGTTATTCTTTAAAATGAAACGCTTTAGAAACTTGAAAAAGTGCAAATATGAAATCTTAGTTAAAGAAACCAAAGTACTTAATGGGTGAAAGGAGGTTATTAATATATCAAAGATTATTTTCATTCTATACTTAAAATAAATCACTAATTAACTAAATTCATTAATATTTTACAATAAGTCCTTGAAACCATAAATTCGAATTACCTATTATGCGGTTTGCAAAAGGCAACGAATGAGTCAACACACTACGAAACTGCATTGTTTTATTTTATCCCAATGCCTTAGCGACTCGTGCATAATGCTTTTTATTATTCTTTGTTGCTACGTAATCAAAGTACTCAAGTATGTCACAATCGTATTCTTATTCAAGTATATGGCGCCACAATTACTCCGAATACAAGGTTTTTTTTTTTTTTCTTTTATATCAAATACTAAGGTTTGAGGATGACATGAAATTCTGACTTTATGTAAAATTGTAGCTACTCAAAACAATATGAATAAAAATGAACTCTGTTTAGCCCTCAATGTCCCCATGCATTCGAAGCTGCCAAAAAAACAATAAAGATTAGATGTTATGCTTAAAATTAATCACCTTACACACGATGGTACCAAAATTAAGAAACAAAGAAGATGAAAATATACAAGAAACATATATAAATTACATTAGGATTTAGAGTTAAGTATGATTAATTATTATAAATATGACCATCATGGTAATGACTTATTAAAAAAGTAATTCATTAACTTTGATCTTTATAACATTGGTAATTTTTAAAATAATCTCTATCACCGTCTACTACCCGTCATACATTTGATCATGACATGTTTGTATATAATCAATTTAAAATAATATATAATGTAACATAATCAAATCAAACTTATATTTAATATTAAGTAGGAAGAGAAATTAAAATCATATAAATTATATTTACAAAACTAAAACACGTTTTATTTTAAAAATAATTTTACTATATCTTTAAGAAATTAATTTGACTACTTACAAACAAGTCAACAAGTGTGGGTGGATTACCTTGTCTTGAGATGGTCCAATCCTTATCCTTCCCAACAGCCCAAAAGAAATAGCCCTTCAAGCCCAATGACTTAGCAAACTGAACCTTCTTTGTTATGGATGGTCCATCATCATACCCGATCCAAGTAGTACCCGCATAAGAGTAGAAAGACACAGCTACATCATCATACACAATAGTGGCACCATTCTCTTTGTTAAACACCAAAATTTCATCATAGTCCAAGGTGCCATCAGTATCAGTGGCAGCCCCAACCGCTTCTGCTCCAACCCCATGAACATTCGGGTCTTTCAGTGCCCATGTCCGGCCGTATAACGGTAAACCCATAACCAACTTTCCGGCCGGCACACCCGACCCGATCCAAGACCCGATCCCATAACGGGTACTTACATTGGACTTTGGATCATCCAATGCAGCATTGAAGCCCGTGAAATTAGCCCATGCCCCATTGTAGTCAAAACACATTGGACTAGCCCAATCTAAGTAGTCCTTAATGGCTTGGGCCGGATACGATCTCGGCCCATTACCAATAAGTTTGATGGTAGAAGCATAATAAACCGCGGCTGTTAAAAACAGTCGCGGTTTTTTACTGACTTTAGCTTCCACCACCAAGGCTTGGTGCCACTCTTGAAACAAGGCACCAAGGTTGGACATGTCAGCTTCATTATCCGGGAACTCCCAATCCAAATCAAGACCGTTGAACCCGTAACGGCGCGCCACGTGGATGGTGGAGTTAATGAAAACTTGGCGGGTGCGTTTGTCGGTAGCCATGAGGGAGAAAGCGGTGGAGTTGCTGCCACCTCCGCCAATAGACAAGAGCGTTTTCACAGGCGGGGGACGGTAGCGGAGCCCGTTGATGAACCGAGGAATCCATTTTTTGTGGAATTCGGTGACATTAAGGTAGAAGAATTGTGGGTGTTGTTGGATGAAGGCGTAGTAGATGTGAGTGAAGTATTTTGTGTCGATGGAAGAGGGTGAAAGGTCATCACCCGCAGGCCAATACGCAGCTCTAACACTTGCTGTGTTTGGTGCATATTTCCAGGGTAACGGTAGCGGAGCCCGTTGATGAACCGAGGAATCCATTTTTTGTGGAATTCGGTGACATTAAGGTAGAAGAATTGTGGGTGTTGTTGGATGAAGGCGTAGTAGATGTGAGTGAAGTATTTTGTGTCGATGGAAGAGGGTGAAAGGTCATCACCCGCAGGCCAATACGCAGCTCTAACACTTGCTGTGTTTGGTGCATATTTCCAATTAGAAGACTCAACATGTGCATGAGAATGGACCATAACCATACTCATGATGAATAGAACCAAAAGGGGTGTGAAAATGAGCCTGTGGAGGGACATGTTTAGCATGAGAGGTTGTGAATGCATCCAAGAGGTAGTTAATTGAATGTGTATTTATATGTCAACTCGCAGGATCCATCGACATAGTATTATATGAATGGGTATTTAGATTTTCGGTCGCGTTGGAATGTTGCGTTCAAACTCTTGTGAGGTGGGTTTGAAGTTTGAATCTTACTCTAGGTATATTTAATTCGGGAATAAATCAAACACAAGGAAACAAAATTGGACATGATAAACAATATAATAAATGTCAACCCATCTAGAATCATAAAGTTGCACACCACGAGGTTTGCTTCGATAATGTCAATATTGTTAAAGTCGTTATTACATTCGAGAAATTGTGTATGTACCAGAAATTGCCTCCTCCTCTGTGTGAAAGGTGCCTTTGTTCGTGACATATCCAGACAAAATTTAAGATATAATATTATATATATTATAGGTATTATGTTTTAATTTCAATCGGCGTTTTATTTTAGTCATTACTGCCAACTGTAAATTTTAGTTATGAAAATGAAATATTCTATAATTATCACGAATAAAATAGTAAAATAACTTATTTTGTGTGTGAATATTCTCCGTACAAATAATTTCGCCACTTTCCACTCAAAGAAATGTCAAACCCACTTACTCAATGGAGCAATGACACAATTTGATTCACAAGAACACATTGTTTTTTTTGGTGGTGTAACCGTGGAAGTTGCAGTAAGTGCATTCGTTCTATGTCCACTGATGTTGCAATCCAGAGACAGATTCATGGTGTCGAAAATATCCTAAATAGATCTTTTTTTTTTAGTGGAATTCGTCAAACGAAAGAAGTCGCATATGCCACTATAGTACTGTGCCCAAATTAAAGAAAGCAATAATATTCCCCCAACAAACTGGCCCTACTCTTTTATCAAAATAAGTACAACCAAAAATTTTAGAAGAGAAACAAGCATATAGACATGACAATAAGAAAAAACAATGAAGAACGTACGGTAACTCAAAAAAGAAACATAAAGACAAGCAATGAAGAAAAAAAAAATAGAGGCATAACTAACACACCCATGTTTGAAATAATTTAAACTAGATGGAGTTACTTTACTAGCTAATTGATTGTTCACTTCTCCTATTAAGGATGACAAATAAACTCGTACTCATAGGTAATACTCAAACTCGTCCCGACTTTGACGGAGAATATCCAGTTTGATCGAGTACGTATACGAATACAGGTATGGGTATATACTTACCCACCTCGTGCTCGTCTCCATTCCCAGTTTAATACCCACCCTCGATTTAATTATATTAACTTTAATATTTTATTATGTGTGATTATTTATTATAATGTGAAATATTTATAATTATTTAATTATTAAGAAATCTATGAAATAGAGAAACAATCTAATTATAATTGTAATATAAAAAAAATAATTTAAAAATATTGTGTATTTTTTTTTTTGTAAAAGAAAAAAATTTGACAGATACAGATATAAGTACAAGTATACCCGATACCCGACGAAAATGAGGATGAAACGAAAATTATATATCCGACGGGTATAAGTACGAGAATGAGGATGAATTTGAGTCATATAAACAAGAACGGATATTATGAAATTCGTACCCGACCCACCTTGTTGTCATCCCTACTCCACGGTTTATTTATTGTGGATAATAAAAATTGTTTATGATTTGATATGTTACTTGGAATGGGTTGTGGACATATTATATGTTGCAACTCGCAATGTATTTACCCAAAATGTTGTCTGATACACAACTATGTTAATCATTTCGAGAATTTTGACGTGAGTGAAATGATTCCTCGTATTTTGTTGGAACAAATTTGTGCTAATGAGAGAAGAAGTCTAATAAAACAATAGCCAATATTGTGGGGCAGGGTGCTGATAATAGTTGATCCAGGCCCAAACGAGTGAGTCATGAGCCCATGAGGCTGAAGGATTTCAGCCCAAAGTGAATTTTATTACGTTTCTAATTTCTTTTATTTACTAGTATTTTAGCATGTTTACACAAGCTAAATATTTATTATATTTAATTAAAATTTATGATAAATTATATGTAAATAAATACTGTATTTGAATATAAAAAACTTTATTTAAAATTAATATAAATGGATAAATAGGAGATATTAAACAAAATAAATCTAGATAAACTTATTCTTTGAATATACATCTCTCTCTCTCTCTCTCTCTCTCTCTCTATATATATATATATATATATGTATGTATGTATATATATAAAGAGAGAGAAAGAAAGAGAGTAGAATTGAAATAAAGAATTTGAATACTATAATCCTTCTAATTAAAAAAAAAGGAAATAAACCCCTAAAAGATATTAAAAACAAATTGATAAGAATCTATAAATGTAATTAATATTCTAAAGATTACAAATCCATGAAATATCTCTTGGAATTTTCACTCACTAGTTTATTTGAAACTTGAATTACTTTCCCAACAAGAAGTGCATCACCCCATAAATGAAGAGGAACATTTTAATGAAAGAGGATGCTACAATTTATTTCAACCAAGTAATGATTTTTTTTATTCAACAATATCATTCTATTGTGGTGTGTGAGTGCATGACATTTCATGAAGATTCCCCTACAAGGTTAGAAAAGTCTAAGACTTGGAAAACATATATTTGCTAGCATTATCATGCAAAAATTCAATTGAAACACCAAACTAATTATGGATTTCATTCAAAAGAAACCTTTAAAGATGTTTTCATTTAAAATATTTAAGTACATAAGGAAACTCATCAATAAATATGACATAAAAACAACCTAAGTTTGAACAAACTCAATTAATAGCCTAAAATATTATAGTACACTAAAGCAAAAGGTGATGTAACATGTTTATTGAGATGAAGATTTGTAAGTATAATGATTAGATGGGGATTGTAAGTATTGACAAAAACCTAAAGTTGAACAAACATAACTAGGACCCCAAATATTAGATTACACTAAAGCAAAAGTTAGCGTAACATGTTTATTGACATTGAGACTATAAGTATGATGAATATGTTTGCCTAGCTAACAAGAATCACATTGAGTAGACATAATTGTAGAGAAACTAGGGATCAAAAGATGTAATTTTTTTGGGCTAAGATGATCAAGACATTGATGAGCAAGATGCGGGGAAGTATGAGAGACCCTAGGAACTGACATTGAGAGTTGATATAATCCTCCATGCTATGTCTTACTACAATCATTTTTTTGGCAAATCGATCTTGAACAAGAACAATGTTATTAACAAGCAAAATAGAGTAATCAACGGTGTAAATTTGCTAATTGAAAACAAATTAAATGGACAAGGGACAAATAAGACAAAATTTAGAGAAAGTAATTGAGAGCATAATGTGTTTATCTAATGTCATGAACTAGGATCTAGAGCCGTCTATAAGAGAGTAACAGAAGACAAAAAGTCTAAAAATCTTTAATCGTAATTGTAGATATAAAAACTGTAAAAAAATAATTATAATATATATTTATATTTTTAAAAGTTATATATAAAATTTTTAATATTACAAATATATGAATAAGTATTGCCTCCACTATCTAAAATTTCTGGATCCGTCACTGATTTTAGGCAATGGTAACCTAAATGTATTGATGGAAAAATATGTATTTGTAATATCTGTATATTATTTTAATTATTGATTGTTTGTTTTAAAATATTAAAATTTAATTTATAAATAAATGTCATAAATAAAAATTAAATTAGATGAAAGTTAAAAAAATTTCTTAAACCGTTCTCATCGAATAATAATTCCTAAAAACGCTCTCGTGCAAGATAATTGTTTACATTTAATATATAAAGGTTGATGTGTCAGCTGTTTTTAGATAGTTGTTAAGGTTTCACTCTTTTCTTAAACGGCCTACCTCTAATAGGTTAAAAATCTTTCCTTATCTAAATATAAAAGTTCGACGTTGGTTGTTCTTCAACTTGTTACTAAGATTCCTCTAACTCTTCAAATTAAGTTGTCTGATCTTCAACTTCAATGTCTTCTTTAGATCTGATTTCATGTTTCTTAAAAAAAAATTTTTACAACGAGTCTTAGTTGTAGTAATCCATATTCGTCCGGAAAATGTTAAATTATAAAAGAAAAATAGTAGTAAAAAAAGGATTAAAAAAAGAAAAGAAATTAAAAATTCAAAAAACCATTGAAAATCTTGCTCATTATTTTTCCTACAAGCCACCCTACCCATCTCATGTCACTCGTAGTGCGTGTTTGGATTTGCGTTCAGAGAATTGATTTGAGATTAACGTGATTTTATATGATTAATTTTAAGTAAACTTGATTTTAAAGTAACATCATTTTTGTTTGAATACATTTATTAGAAAATTGATTTTCATATTAAATGATGTTTAGAAAATAGTTATCAAAATTGATTTTAAGTGTATAATTACCAAAATAGACCTTAGCTAATTGTTGATGTTTTTTGTATTGTAATGTATTATTTTTTAATTGTATATTGACATGTATATTATTAATGGTTAAAAATAATAATTAATATATTACCTTATTATATAAATGGATGTCTATAAAAACAAGTAAAAAAGTTAAATTAAATTAACAATATATAAAGTAGCAACACTACAACATAGGAAAAAAGGAAAATACTTTTTAATGCAATAAAACATTAACCTACAACATCAATACTAATGTTTGTTCTTCAATTGTACAATTTCATCTCGTATTGAATCTCAAACTTGATCCATTTTGGATGAAGAAATAACATTTAGAACTTGATTTTTCTCTAAGTTAACTGTACTATGATAATTACCATATGATTCAAGGGTTATGTTCTCATCTTCATAACGGCTAAAATTAACATCACTTTTTGCATTCCTTCTAATAAAATTATGTATAGCCATTGTTGCACATACAATTTGCACTTGGGTTTCCAGTTTATACTTAGGCATGTGTCGCAAGATTGCAAATCTATTCATCCATACCCCAAAGGTTCTCTCAATTGTACACCTTAAACTTGAGTGGTAATAATTGAAAACTTCATTATTAGTTTCAAACCCATTCTTACATCTAAAATCTGGTAGATGATAACGTTTGCATCTATAGGGACCAAGATATCCTACTGGTGTTGGATAACCAACATCTACCAAATAATATTTACCTATTAAAAAAGTAAAAAAATGTTAATATAATTTAATTGAAATTGGAATTCAATTGTATTGATATAAATAAATAATACCTTAAGGAGGATGTGAAAAATTCAAGTTGGCAGTTGTGAGAGCTTAATCGAAGATTCGAGCATCATGCACAGTACCTTCCCATCCAGCTAGTACAAAAGTAAAACACGTGTTCCAATCACAAACTGCCATTATATTTTGTGTTGGAGTACCCTTTCTCCCAATAAATCTTGCTTGGTCACTAGGAGTAACCGCACATGGAATATGAGTTCCATCAATTGCCCCTATTGCATTCTTAAAAAAAGGCCAGTATCGTGTATCGTTTTTTATTTTGGCTTGACTATCATGAAATAGAGGATCTTGTGGCCTAATATACTCTACGCATAACTTAAGGCAAGCATTTAATACCTTATGGATATGTCTACTAATAGTCTATCCAGAATGTTGAAACCTCTCTTGAAGCACCCTATTTCCTACCCCATGACCAACCATGTTTAAAAAAATTGCAACCATTTCTTCAAGTCGCATGTGCTTAGAGGCCCTTAAACCACAATCAACTAATTTAGAGCAAAGATTGTAAAAAATATGTTTTTTCATACAAAACATCTCATAACAAAGAATAGGATGACCTTGCAATATTTCGTGCACCCATGCATGACCTATTTGTTCACTTGTTCTACATGGCTCTTTACATAGATGCTTTATTGCATATTCACCAATAAGCACACCCACATATAATGCTTCTTCCATAAATTCATCATCTTCATCATTGTTTGATTCTAATTGCAGAAACTGCTCATTCATTTTTATCCACACACAAAAATATAAAATAATATCATGCTTTAATTCAACAAAATAAAAATATCATTATTTTTCATAACAAACAAGAAAATATAAAATGAATACCATAAGCAATAACCAGATTATTTACTAGTACATGATAACCAAAGCTAACCTTAAAGACCCCACCAAGACAAATTACGTACATGGTAACCAAATTATTTACAATTACATGGCAAATAATAGCCCTTTAAGATCACATATTACCTTAAATGGAAAATTATGCTATTGAAATCTCACATATTATGTAGAAATAAATTGCAGCTCACAATTTAAAGACCCCACCAAGATAAATTGATTATGATTCAATCACCTTAAGATTAGGACTTATATCCCCTGCCAACAAATCCAACTAACTAAATACATGTTTCATAACCTTGAGCACATTCTAGCACACACTCAATTGCAAACAAAATAATGTATTTACTGTCAACCTCTCGAAACCAATAGAAAAATTAGCATGTGTAATATGTTACGCATATGAGGTTAATAGCCATGACAGACAAGATATCTAGAGAAAAAAATATGATTGTTACTACTTTAAGCAAAACTTGTGTACAATAATGTATTTACTGTCACCAAATAAAAATACTCATCCTTTTTATAAACATCGAGCACGTTAAAATAAACTAACTTCATAACAAAAAAAAGGAGTTTCATCCACCAATTAAACATGTAGTCGGAATAATTTCCTAAAGCACTAGATTAAATTCAAATGACAAAACAATGAAAAGGAACAATTACAACTTACACATTTAGAAAGACATAACAAAAACTTAATAGACACATCTAAATCTATAAGAACAACTCCCTAAACTTAATACAAGATAATTTTAAAGTAATAAACAAGGATTTAAGTTGAAAACTTAACAGACACGTCTAGTTATTTCCCTTAAATAGTAAAGGATTTTTCACTGCATCCCTAAGCCAATGCATCCTTTTCTCATCTAACCCCCGTAAAGCAACAAACATTCCTCTTGCCGGTTTGAACAACATCAAGTTGCAACATTGTGTATGAAAGACATCATCATTTTCTAATTCAGGTAGTGTCTTAAGCTCATTCACCACTTCCTGAATTGATGTAGTTGCTATAACTTCATTACGTGACATACATGTGTCCACTAGCACACTAACTACATCGGCTATTCTTACAGAAGTAGTTGTCTTCTTCTTACTAAACTTTTCAATATGATTGCTTCTTTTTCTCTTTTCTCCACTCTTTTGGCTACCAATCCCTTGGCTAATTGTTTTTTGTGAATCGTTTAAATTAATCCCCCCTAAAGCATTTGTAGCACCAACACTTGCATCTTCACTATCACCCGAGCCTTCCTTTACATCTAAAAATATTCCCTCTAGACTTGGACGATACACATCATTCATATCAACCCCAAGATTAAGAGGCAACACTCTAGATGAGGGACTCCATTCGTACTCTCCATTAGCAACTACATCCTTAAAAAGTACAGTTAAATTGTGAGCAAACATAAGTCCCTTGTTTCTAAACTTTATGTATAGAGGACTTTCCTACACATTCACAATTTATAATAGGATAAATACATTAAAGTAAAAGCTTACAATTCTTATATATATGAAATCAATTACAGTAACACATACCAATTGCTTTCTCTCCCACCACTCATCATTTGCATCAACAGTATTCTTCACATTGTCCCATCCAAGCCCAGTTTCTTTACCAAATAATTTATACCATATCCTCCATTCCCTTCTTAAATTATCAAACCTATTTTTAAACTTTGTTTTTTCATAAACCTTTCTTGTTAACTCCTTAAATTTGTTTGCAATTCCAAACCATCCTTTCTTAGTAAAACTAGTACCCAACCATTCGCCGTTAGTCACTTGTTCCAAGCATGCTATGATAAAGCATTCAGTTGCTTTAAGATCCCAACAAACTTTTTCTTTCTCAGAACCCATACTTCTACATTAAAAGGTTTAACAAAATATAACTTAGCAAATAATAGCTAAAATTAACACTTAAAATAAACACACCATAATTGGCATTGGTATTCAAGCCAAATAACAGCAATTCCTCAACAATATATATTAATATGCCCAAAGTAATTATGGTGATCTTACCAACCCAATAATGTCAATAATGCCAAAGAAACAACCGAAGGAACAAATATGCTTGCTACCTGCAAAACAAGAGAATGGAACTTAAGTTCATATCTAATATTTCTTCAATCATTTATGGACCAATCAATTACTCACTGTAATACAATCAACAACAAAAAATAAAGAAAAATTAAAAATCAAAGAGAGAAATTGGTCCTAAATAATAAAGATGAATTTGAACCTCTTCAGGAAGCTCATGTGCCAGCAAAAACAAAGTTTTATACCAGCCACACCAACAGATCCATAAAGCATGAATGCACAATCCATCAAAATGAAACTTAAATAAAAGTTACAAATTAGAGAGGTTGTTGGTTAGCATTGAAGTAGAAAATAAATGGCTAATAAAATTTATGGTTCAAAATAGGTGCAACATGTACACACGCAAGGAGGAAAGAACCCTAAATCGGTGAAAATAAAATTCATGAGAAGAATCAGAACATTTATGAATTAGGTGAGGAGAAAGGGAACATTGAAGTTTCATGAGGACAAATGAGGAAAATCAAATATCCACTTACCAAAATCAATTTCCTCAAAACGTAGAAGCAATCTTCACTAGCTTTAGCCAAAATTGATTTTCATCTGTGGAATCATGTGAAGATGAAGAATCCCAAACATGCATCTAGAGGAAAAATCGCGTTTTTGAAAGAAAATATGTGCATTGCCCTAACACAACGCGCATCCAAACAATGCAGTAGCCTACAACCATCACAAGCCGCACCTACTACATTTGCAAGAAAGGGCAACAACTTTTAAGCAAAAAAAAATGTGGATCTAGCTTTAGCCCATGGAGGGAGGAAGGGACTTTAAATTCACAAATCCACTCATTGCATGCAAAAGGAAAAAAAAAATCCCTCCACCTCCGTTCTTTCCTTTGATTACCATCTCGTTAGTGAAGTATGGTGAATATATTGAACCCTCCATGAGCCCAATAGTACAACTCCAACATTTGTAAACTACCATAACTTTTATCACAACTCCATTGTCAACCACAAAGATTTTAACAAAGGAGTTCTAAACTCTTACTCCTTGCCACCAATAATGTCTCATGAAATGACATGTCCAGAAATGAATCACCAACACAAGTCCAATATCTTCTCTCACATCCATGTTGCACTCGTGCTAAAGATCTCTCTCTCTCTCATTTCTGCTTAGGTATAGTTTTTAACCATTTGTTATTGTGTCGTCCAGGTCGGAATCCGACCGAGTCCCTGTGTGGGAGCTATCCCGACCCATTGGTCAGCCAAGCCCTTCCGCCTTGTAGGCTCAGGACTAAGGGGCAAGTGTGCCGTCCAGGTCGGAATCCAACCTGACATTTTACACAGGACGGGTCGGATATAGCCTGAACCGATCCCCTATCTGGACGTTCACTTGGTCAACACCCCCGACCAGGTTTCTCTGTACAAGCCCGATCGGTCACGATCCTATCTCATGCATAAGAGCATACTCGGACGATGACCGACCTGCCCTCTCTACATGGGTATGCTCGGTCAAGAGCCGACCTGATCTCCCCACGAAGAAGTTATCCGATGGCAAAGGCAAAATCCCGCATTCATTTACCAAATATCTCCCAGATAAAAACGGTTAAGGAAATCCCCGCATCCTCGGGGCCCATGAGGCCCATGAACTAGAAACTATAAGACCTAAAACCATAGGGTTTGGGACGGCAGATTACACTTTTGAATGCTCTGGCTCTAAGGCTTAACCTAGGAAGAAACCCTAGTCCACCCTTTGGCCGGAACAGTTATATATATATTTTTTTGCATTACCAATATTGTTAGTAGTCTTTTAGCATGTAGTTAATTTTTTTTACATCTTTTGCAAAGTGCTCCCTGTTTTATGTAAGTTTCCTTCCATAATCTCTTTCATTTTCTTATAATATTATGTGCTTTAAAGAATTACTTGTGTTTCATTTCGTTTGGGAATTTTATTACCATTTGCTTTTACAATACTCCTTTTACTTGTATACATGTTATTACACTTTTTTTTATCATTTTAATATCATTAATGTAAACACCAATTTTGTTCCACTAATTTTTCTACTAATTTATTTCGCAAAATTTTCAAATCAATGATTTAAGAATAAAAATAATTTACATACCAGATTTAAACTCAAATAAAAATGTATACAATAATAATAATATAAAAAAAGAATAGAAAAAAGATAAGGAAAGAAGGAAACAATATCTTCCTCTGTACCAAAAATTAGGGGTGGGTAGATGGACCTGGGTCCGCGGACCGGTCCGTAAGCCCCTGATTTTGTGGATAACAGACCCATTTTTTATCAAATCCGTATGACTATGTTTGATTTTTGAGTCCGGCCCGTGAAGTCCGCGGACTTGGCGAATTTAATCCGTGGGCTCGCGGGCTAGTCCGTAGACTTCACTAATTAATATCTTTAAATATTATGATTTTAATATTAAGTTGTGTATTTAATTTTTTTAAAATTATTATGACATTAAAATTATGTTTAGTTGGTATGTATTTGTCATTTGAATTATTTTTATGACATTTTGATGCTTTTATTATTGAAAGTTTGGTACTATTATTTAAGTATTTATAATTATTTTTATTTTAATATTTTAAAATTTGGTATTTTAAACTATTTTAACTATTGATAAATTTTAGTATGATAAAATTTAGCTTATAAATAAAAAATATATTTTTTCTTCTAATTTTACGTTTTTTTATTTTTTAAAAATTTATTTTTTCAACCATTATTTAGGCCTGTGGACCGGTCCGTTATTCGCGGATTTTGGCGGGCCGGATACGAACTTAAAAAATAAGTCCATTTATTTTACGGACCGGACTTATCCGACCCGTATAAAATGCGGGTTTTACGGACTGAGCCTTAAACGAGCTAGACCGGTCCGTATACCCACCCCTACCAAAAATCCCTGTCATCCCACACTTTTTTGTTGCTCTTAAATCTCCTCCAACAAGCATGCTAAGCTTCTATCATAGCCACCAACACATTCCTAAGATCACGCTTCTGCCGTATATGCTTCCAAAAGCATGAACTTGAAACTAGCTGCCAAAGAAGGATTATAATGGTAGTGAGTCTATAAATATTGGAACATAACATGAACAAAAGGATTTTTTTCGAGAACAAAGAGAATCAAGAATAATAACCAATTTTCAAGCGAAGAGAACTCAAACAGAAGGTAGAAGAAGAGGCTAAAGTAGTGTGGGTATCAATTATTCTCTCCAATTTTATTTGGTATGTTGTTGCTATGATATAGTATGCAAACCAATTTCTTCCCTAAAACAATTTTTTTTTATGAATCTTTTACCATGGAATTGAAACCCTCTTTCTCAAACACCAGCAAAGTATTTAGCAAATAAAATTCAATTCTAGTAGGAATCATATAAATGTGTGGTGATTATAATGATTGTTTATCCATGTGAGTGTGAGTAATGGAATCTCCAAGGACAACTATTATTTGACATTATCACTGATATTTGATTATTACATTTAGAGTATTATATATAGTTATAATTTCAATCCTAAGGTTGAGGATTAATGGTGTGATAGGTATCTTGTAACACCCCAGTTTTCAATAAAGTTATTATTATAATTATAATAATAATTATTATTATTATATGGTATTTGGTCATAATTATTTTAATAATTATAGAAGAATATTATTTTGTACGTTTTAAATAATTATTGTTTTGGACAATTATTTTGTACGTATTAAATAAGTATTTTTTATTAGCATATTTAAATAAATATTTATATGTTTTAAGAGAAGGTTGATTTTATATGATATTTTGTTATTGAAATTATATTATTATATTTTGGGTCAGAAATATATTATTATTATAGAGGAAAAATATTTTATAATATACATGTATTTATTTTATTTAATTATTTTGAGGAAAAAGAGAAGTGGGTTAGAAGAGAAGGAAAATGGGTTGGGTTGACCCAGCCCAATGGATTAATTTTAAGGAGTCAGGTAGCGTTAACCCTATCTACCTCATTTGCGTTCTGAAGGGTTAGGAAAAAAAAAAGGAGAAACAAAGAGCTCTAAGGAAGAGTACTCAGGAACGACCTTAGATCACACCTTTGTCTTCTGCTCATCCAGGTAAGGGGGGAGTGAGAAACCTCGCTCTGGGTGTGGGATTGTATGCTGGGTAGTGGGATTGGCCCCCAATCCTGTGTTTGCTGTATTTTTATGTATGCTCATGTATGAGGGGTTTCTCCCAATTGTATCTGTTTTGCTTATTATTTTTCTTATATGCAATTAATTGTATGACTTGAGATCTCTATGGGTTCCTATGGGAAACCCTATGAGAAAACGGGCAAAATATGAATGTTTTCTATTTTGCCTTCTGATTACTTTGTTGTGTTCCTTGTTGGATGTGATGCATGAGTATGTGGTTAATTTTGAAAATAAATATGTTTTAATATGATCTAGAGTGCTCTATGGGTTCCTGCGGGAAACCCTATGAGAAATAGGCAAAATATGAAATATTTTCTGTTTTGATTTCTGATTTTTCTGTTATATTCCTTGTTTGATGAGATGTAAAAATATGTATTTAATTTTATAAATAAACGAGTTTTGATATAAATTAAAGTGCTCTGTGGAGGCTTTGTGAATATGATGATGTAAAGTGAAATGTGATTGAGACATGGGATATGAAATGTGATAATGAAATATGATGACGAAATGTGATGATGTGATATGACCATGGGAAATGATAATGTGATATGAGAATGCATAGAGTCTTGATTGACATGCATCATGTGCATAAGTGTTTTAAGGGTACGATATGGAATACACCGCCAGAGAATGCCC